TATCCCCACTGCGGAACGACGACTGGTTGATCAATCTGTCTTGATGCACAACTACAGATCGGCCAGTTCTTCTTACCAGTCTCCTGAGTCTTAAATATCCTGAACAACTCATCTGGAAGAACTGAATCCATTCGTACTGAGAAGATACTAAATGCCTTAGACTTGAGATGGGTCACATCACGGTGATAATGTCTCTCTAGGGGAGGACACTGTTTGCTAAAGGAATTTTTTACTACAGTCCAAAAATATATTCACAGCTCAGCTTTCGTTTGTCAGAGGGTGCAGCACGCAAGCTGCATGCAGCGCTCAAGGCAGAGGCAGTCATGTTGGCCGAAGCAGTACATCTGGCTCGTAAATACTCACTGACACTAAAATGTGTCAACCAATGGGAGGAAATCATTCACGAACGATGCCCAGCCAGGACAGGAACATGCATAAGACAGACAGGGGGAAAAATCGACATGAAAGTTGAAGGAAGGGTGTCATTAAATATGTATGCTAACACAACATTGCACTGAGTCGCTCCTTCAGCTGCCTTAGATGGATGAAACCCAGAGTCCAGAGACAAAGTAGAGCCACATGAAAATGAGCAGTAATTATCCTCACTAATTATGCTTTGCATTAAGTAAGGCTGCAACTAATTACTTTCATTGATCACAAAAATTATTTTTTGCACAACTTGTCCAAGAAATCATGAAGAAAAAGAACCCCTCTCGAGTTTAGAAAGTGAAATATACCATCTTTGTTTTGCCTGTTTTGTCTGGTCAGAAATGTCTTAATGATTAAAGGGACCATCAAAATCGTTGCTGCAAACTTTTTTGTGGGTCGTAACGAAGAATACCCTCCATCAATTTTCCCCATCAGCCCAAATTACTTAAAAGCTGGTAATATTCTGCCGATACAGACAGTCTCAGACTCTCACAGACCGATCAACTGACAATGATGGTTTTCGATGAGCCCAGCACCGCGGGAAATGCACATCAAGGCTAACGTCTGACGATGATGAACTGTTGATGAATAAATGAACAACTTCCTTATACTTCAATCCCAGTTTCACACATTTGCCCTTCCTGGTAATTAATTCCCAGGATTCACACAGCGAGTGTCGTGACTGTCAGTGTGTTTAGAAGTTACTGAAATGCAGCTCCTCGACTCACCACAGTTGCAATTTTATTGTGTGTGGCATCCTTGTTGAATCTCACCTAGGGTGTAGAATGCTGGTGACTCAGATGACACGAGCCCAAAGGCTTGCAGTCACAATGCCAGATAAACAAACAAGCACATACTAGTATATAAAAACAACCTGACTTCACATTTGAACATCTCCTCAGTGCAGCCCCTTTGTCATGCTGCTGCTGAGAACCCACACACATAATTCAGGCTTCATAAAAGCTTCTCACTTGATTAACTTCAAATCAACTATGGGCTTTTATTTTTTAATTTAACACTAGAGAAACCCTGGAATTGAAAAAGTGGAGTATGCTTAAAGTGCCTTGAAGTATGCTTTTAAAAGCACCAGCAAAACGCCAAAAGTGTTACAACTGATTACTAAAGAGACTTTCAGCACCATCAATTATACAGCAGCTCCTCTTTTTTGAGCTACACAGTGGGTGGACTTGGAACAAAACATAAAAAATCATGTTCTGCTGCTCACACATGGAGAGACTGAGTGTGAACCATGAATTAAGCAAGTTTTTGTACTTGAAGATGTATCCCTGCACCCCAGCATGTGTTACATATCTGTAGGTCTGATGTAGCAACTAACAGCTGCATATATAAAACACGATGTATCCCACGCTGCCAAAAGGGAGACACGAATGAAGAACAGAATGAATCGGAAAACACATATACACAAGAAACACAGTGCACATAGACGGATGCTACAGGGTCATATAAACTGAGAAAAAATAAAGCTTTTTCTTCGCGTTTAAATGTAACATGAACACGGTAATTTAAAAGAAAACACAGGAAAATAATCTGCTACTTTTACGCACGGACTTTCAGTATCCATACCTGGCAACATATGGCAAGACCCCTTCTTTCCCCTTCTTACCTTTGACAGATTTTAAGAGCATCCTGTCACACACCGACAAAGTGACAGTTAAAGCCTGAAGTGCTGTCAAAATAACAAACTTCACACTCCAGCTCTCGGGGTTCATGATGCTGAAGCGTGGAGGGGGACTAGCCAACTGTCTTTCACTGCAGCGCAACCATCATACACTTCCAGTCCAACAACAGCTGATGTGCAAGAGCCTCCCCACAAATAAAACGACTTCCTGAAATATGATCAAGTATATGACCGGTGCTTTAGGAAATCCCAAAGACAGCTGATTCAAGTCCACTCACTTCGTCCCCATTCAAAGATGTCCAAGTGCGAAGCCGCTCGCGCGTAAGTAAAAACTGTGGAGAGCGATGAAAATATTGACAAAGGCACGAGCCGCTGCTGTCTCTCAGTCGCCCCACTGGAATGACATCAATTCCACAGCAATTACTGGCGAGGAGTGTTGTCTTATGAGTAGCGACCATGTGCTTCAATGAAGCGCTCCGCGAGGTCCTAAAGCCACCGCCAGGGCACACAAATGGCAACCAGGCTGTCAAGTTAGGCGCAAAAAAGAAGCAATTTCCGGTCCCATCTTTCAACAAGAAGGCAATAGTTCCATGGAGAATAAATAAATAATTTAGGGCAAAATCGATTCTTTTGATGGAAAAAAATCTACTGGATTTATATCCTCAAGTTTAAAGAGTTCCCTTGTTTCATTTTAAAGTCATCCTTTTGAACACAGTGTGTTCCAAAAGCTACTGCAAAACCTGCATGAATCCAATTTAACCAATTTAGTATGCATTTGTTAAAGCATAAGTCTGGGAAGCGCACATGCTGAGAGATATTATAAGGTTTTATTTTGAAGTTCTTAATTCGTCTGCTCTCTTTAAGGGGTTGGCAGTGAATCATCGGCCCCCATCTCTCCCTAGCATCCTCTTGTGTCACCCCAACCCTCTGCATCTTCTCTGTACTCTTCCTGTTTTCCTCCTACCTGGCAGATCCATATTCAACATCCTTTGCCCAGTTTATCCACAATCCATCCCCCGCACATGTCCAAACCATCTCAGCCATGCTTCTAACTTTGTCTCCAAGCCGTTTAACTTGAGGTGTCCCAATACTCATTTTTAGTCTTGTCAGTTCTGGTCACTCCCAACCTGGGACTATTATCTTTCTGTCGCAAATCGCCCCTGACACTGGTCCCCACCCACTCCTACCTGCCTGCATTCTCTTCTTCACCTCTCTTGCCCACCGTTCGTTGCTGTAGACGTAGACACCCTTTTATTCTGAAGGTAAACCAGGTTATTTCATTCCTCTTTCCTGGTATTCCTTGATCAACTTCACCCAGGGAGCTTAACAGCACACACTAAGGCCACATTTGACTATAGCCTCCCTGGGAAGGTGTTATAAGGTAAATCAATTACTTGTTGTTACTCAGCCAGAAAAAAAAAAAGAAAAAAAAAACCAGACTCACTCATGCGCATGCCACAAAAAAGTGGTTTTACTTCAACACATTTACATTTTAAAATGCCAGAAAGCCATCTGATAGACCCAAAGCGCTCTGCTCAATTATGCTTTTCGCGATGTGCACTCTGCAGTGCGCCGCATCGGGTTGTTTAGCATTTCAGGTAGGGCTCCAGCATGCTTCCAGCATTAAGGCTTAAGGTAAAGTCACTGCGCCGTATCCACTTGTTATCTTAACACAGTGTGAAAGCATACACCCTCACACAGAAACCTCTCAAAACTCTGCCTCCAAGATGAAACATGGAAATAAATGAATACTGAGGAGCACTCTGCTTGCTTTTTAAGAACCAAGGGGTGCTTGCAAGGAAGGCGGTACACAGAGCAGGTCTCTCTGTTGGTGTGCTAGAACAGATGATTAATGAACGTCCTTCCATCTTACCTATGCAACAATGAGAAAACGATTTTGGGAGAAACAAAATGGTAAAGAATTTCACTTCCCAAAGCACATTTACAAAAGTTGAAACACAAAAGTTGTTCAGATATAAAACACATAAATGTAGAAACCTATTTTTATATGCACACACTCAGTTGCAAGGGTAAAATAAGGTAATCTTTGACTAAGGCCTCATGCATGCGATCAATTATCTTCTTTAAAGAACATCCATGGTACACAAGTGTCCTTCTAGTCTCAAATTATTATCATTGTGCACCATGAATGGTGTTATTAACGCACTCCCACTGTCCAAATACACCCACACATGCAATTGCACAGACATGAAAATAGGTTTATAAAAATAGTAGCAACCATCTGTTTTCTCTACACACCAATGAAAATTACAACGGATGAAACGACTGGACTACGGAGGAGCACTGTTGGGTTCAATATTGAGGAGAGATACAGGAGGTAATCAACTTTCAAAATAATAACAACAAATAACAAACCTAAAGACAAATGAGGAAAAATGACAATTGAGAGTAATGAGAAGATCTTCTGCTCTGTTGTCTGTTGTTCTAAAAATACATATTGACACGTTGCTTTACCCAGAATCATCACGTTGTTGTGCAACACCCCTCGCTCACTGCATATTCATTCTGAATCAAAACACACAAATTTGAATCTGCAACAGCGAGGCTTGGTCCATCATGACACAATGACAGAGACAAAGGCTCCATTCAGTTGAACTGTCCATTAACAGGGGGTGCTTCCACTGTAAAGAGGTCACATTCCTCCATCTGGCATCGAAAGGTGGCAGAGCCCACTTCACGTTTCTTTCAGCATTGGATGTTAAATGAAGACGACGGTTAAAGACTGTCCCGGATTTGACTGTGAAGGATAATGGATGATTTTGTCTTACATCGCTGCTTCACATCACATGGTATCATGTGAAAGTGACTGTCAGAAGACACCACTGCTACAGTGAGACGCTTGTTCTGCATCCAATTACATGGAGTAGTCTCAAAACAAAGGCAGCTTGCAATCAAGTGCAAACAAGACAACAAACTGCATAAACAGAAGTTAATCGAAACCATATCGGCGAGGCGGATGTTTGATTAAAACCACAACAGACTGTCCAGACATGATTTCATACTTTCGACCTTCAACAACCTTTATTTGAAATTGCATACCACAAGGGTGGCTAGGACAACCACGTGACAGAGCATAGAAAGGTCATTTAAACGGCAGGCACTGCTGATTTGAAGATGTTTCTAGAATCCATAAGGACCCTGTCCGAGTGTGTTCACTGCTCGCTTTCCAAGCAGTTTAACGTGTTTTAAGCAAGCACAGAAAGACATTCTTCCCAGATTTGGATAGAAGAGCAAAAGAATGAACAAATATGTAATTGGATTTATCTGTGATAAGGTCACATAGTGAGATATGCTGATTTTGCTTACTACATATTGTTTGATCAGGAAGTGCAATAAATTTGCATTAAGGTTAAATGTCTTTTTTTTTTTTTACTTTGTATGAGAATATATGTTTTTAATCCACATAAGAAGACAGGTTCTAGAAAAATAATAAACTAAACTGACAAAGGGCAAAGTTCACTGTATCAGTCTTTTATGCCTTTCTCTACATCTTCATCCATGTGGTCAGTTGTTTAGTTGTTGCTCCTTTGAAGAAGTTGATCCAGCAGTTTCTGTAACAAGAAAACACACAAGTGGCTGACACATATCACAACATAAAGGCTATATACAGACAACTAATCTGGTCCAGACAAAAGTCTCCTAGCATGCTCCTTAATCTTCAGAGGTCATGTGCAGAAACAGGACTGATTCCTGGTACATGGCACCCTCTCACCCAAACTGTTAAGCTTTCCAGCTCCTTTTTCAAGACCCGCTGGATCTTCTGGCATCATAGCCCTTCTCCCCTGCATTATCTGCCACAGCAGCAGTGTGGGAGGAGCAGCTGTGTGTGGGCACCCACTCTGTCTGCAGGCTCGGCTGAATGGTGGCACTGCGCTGTGGATTTCTCTGCCACTAAAGGGCCTTTTGTTTCACGAGGAACACGGGCTCATACACCCAGCACAATGAGACTGTTCACAGTCTCTCTTCATAATGAGAGGCAGGGTGTGGGGTGCAGGGTGAGAAAGAGAGACTACAGCTCCTGTAAATCAAACTCACTTCTATAGAGGGTCAGAATTATTGACTATAAAATGGCAAAAAAGGAATGCTCGCTAGCAGTCGCTAAACATGACAAATATGTCTCTGAAGTGTGTTTTTTAAGATCAGGTTTCCCTCACAGAACCTTTTGCAGGCGTGCAAGAAAATAGAAAAGTTAGGCAGCATCGCCCTCTAGTGGAAAATAAGTGCAAAGGAAAGTTTAAGTAATCATGCAATGGCGTAAAAAGTCAGTCTATTGTAGGTCTCTCTGTAAACAATCAGAGCAGACATTTAATTATGTAAAGAATTTTTTATATTGCTACATGCTTGAAGCTTCTTTGTTGTTTTTCATCAGATTAACAAACAACTAGTGCTCTAAAAACTGTATAAAAATGAAATGTAAACCATTTAAAAGTCGATTTTTCTCCCTATAGCTAGATTTTTATTGCAACACTGAATATTTGGTGGATCATGCAATAACTAAAGTGTAATTTTCTACAAACCAAAACATTGTTCAGACCTCCAAAAGCAAATGACAAACCTTATCAGTAACTGTGGGTCTTTTTATCTGTTATAATTTGATATTAGGGCCCCACAAGAAAATAGAATAAAGGCTGTCCATGTGATATGCCCCCTGATATTTGCATCAAAAAAGTCCTTTAAACTCAGCCTCGTGCGACCCACTCAAATCCATTTTTTTTTCAGCTAATTATAATGGATTACGTGCCCACTTTACTGCATTATTTTCAACAGCGGCCTCGTTCTGAAGAGAGACAAGGCTGCATTATTAACATAGAAACCCTTAAGTGTTTGCCATTACTGCAAAAAGGTTTCACTCTTTCCAAGGTTTAATTGAGCTGTAAGGGAAAGGTGTGTTATTACTTGCTCAATTGCCTGCGGGTCATACATGCTATTAATGTTCTGTTCAGTGTCTCGGGCAGATAACTACCAGACAGGAGTTATTTGCTTTATTCTCCATGTTCAATGATTTGATGACGTAAGTTTTACCTAAATATGTGTTTGTAACAACGTCTGGTGCTGATATTTAATGAGATGACAACTAGAATTAGATGGTTTGAACTCATGTTAGGTGGAGATGTCTCATTAACTGATCATCTTTTATTTGCTTATTGTTGTTATCCACAAACTTTAAAATGTACTGTTTTACAAAAAAGCAGAAAAAAGTAAAGCACGTTGTTATTTTTTGGTTAAGATGTCGAATTACATTTATTCTCTTGCATTCCTGAACAGAAATCAAGTCACTTTGATTTTTAAACTTTTTTTTTTGACAGCCATTAGGTCACAATTGATAAATCTATCAATCTATCAACAATATATTTGTGATTGTTTTGTGAAAAATAGGTAGAGGATTTACCTTTTTGTAAAGCTCAGCTCGATATCTGTTGTTCAAACTGACCTCCCTCCTTTCTTCTTCTTTTTGTCTCTTGAGATCTGCAGGTGTCCTGTACAAAAATAAAAATGGTGTTTTAGATATGGAATCTGCGGTTCTCAAAAAAAAAAAAAAAAAACTAAAACATTTATTAGGAACTATATTACTGTGCAAAAGTCTTGAGCCACCCCTTGTTTCGTCATTATTTGGTAGCAAAATCGGAAATTTTATTGAAGATTTACACAAACATGTGCCACATTGGCAGCACAATAGCATAGTGGTTAGCACTCTGGGTTTGAATCCAACCTCTGTCCAGAACTTTTCTGCATGGAGTTTAAATGTGTCCCTGTGGGGGGTCACACTTATATATGGGTATTCTGGCTTCCCACAGTCCAAATATGCAGTTAGTGGGGTAAGGTTAATTGTGATTCTAAATTGGTCAAAGGTGTGAATGGTTGTCTGTTGCTCTGTTTTGACCCTGCCACAGACCTGCCCAGGTAGGCTTTTACTGCATTGGCAGTGTGTTTAAGATCATTGTCATCCTGAAAATTAAGCTGTTTCTAATGAGACGCTTTACAGATGGTATCGTTTTTTTGGATCAAAATCTAGTGGGATGACATAATTTGACAAGATTTCCAACCTAAAAGGACTGCCTGCAAGCCAGAGCCTCCACAGGCTTTTAGTAACGAAGTGCTTCAAGACACAATTCAAAATTGGTTGGCTAAGTTGGCTCTTATGTGTCGACACTGGTTTATTCCTCGAAGGTATACCTTGAAGTGCCTCTTCGAAGCTTCAATGATTCATAGGTCACTGTTAAGTGGCTCAGCAGAAATATATATACATATATAAATGGAAAAGGGGTGGTGCAAAAACATCTGCTCAGTATTATATGTATACAACTATGTCAGCTTGTTAATTTTTTGTAAGTTTGCCAAGAAAATAAGACAAAACCTAAGGAAAAAATGCACAAAAGGTTCGACAGAGAAGATAAGAACAGCATATTTGTAGGGAGATGTCACTGAGGAGAGCTCTGCCTAGACATGCAGGAGTGATACAAGCCTAAAACGTAAAAGCATCTGATAGTGAGCCAAAGTAAAAACATAGATGGCGCTTACAGCTTGGATCTGGGCTGCATGTCTTTCCTAGAAAATGCTCTGTCTCTGTGTGTGAAAAGGTTACCTAGAAACACACACACACAAGGGCAAAGCATCGCAGTCAGTCTTTCTTTTACACAAGTTGGAATAGACAAAACATTTCCTTTTTGTTTGAACATAAAAAATGTCACATTGAATTTGAACATATAAGATTATCTTTTTTTTAAAAAGCATGTAACCTTCTCTTTTTGTTTCTCAAGGCACTTTGCACCATCACATTTGCACCTGTCACATTCTGCAGGGTATTTGTAATTACACCACTGATCATTTTGATTTCTCAGCTGGTATTTTGACATTGGTGCACCTTTCTGTTGTAGCCTGTAGAGGGCAGAGAGAGCCATAAAATCTCTGTTAAGTCTTTAAAACCATTTATTTAACATCTTACTTCAGGTTGCTTTTATTATATTTGGTCAAAGTTTCACCTGGTGTGCCACTTTCTGTTTCCAAAATCTTTAACTACATTCAAAAGAAAAGAAAATGTAATAAAGTGTATCAGGGTGATTTACTTTAGGATATCAGTCTGTTATGTAATCCATAAGATGCATTAAGCTACTTTAACATTTTATCTATGTTATTAAACGTACTTATCCAGGTTTTTCATTTCATAATTTCAATTAAATAATTCCTGAAGAAGCTACTGCAAAATCTTAATGTAATATTTGTTGGTTGTTGTTGATTGTAGTGGATTTGGAAATATTTGGAGATATTATCATTAACTTTAATTAGAAAAGAAATATTTTCACGAATTCAGAAAAACAACACTGACTGACAAACACCCCTTTGCCCCCCTTTTTTGTCTAAATCTGTATCCGTGTATGATTAGTTGTGTGGCAAAAAGCCACTGCAGCTGCACAGAAACAATGGACAGTACACTGGAGACAAGAGGTGAGGCTGGCTGCTAGCGCATTACCGTTCAGAGAGGTAGACCCAGTGCTGAGAGCTCTCCTCTGCCTGGGTGCCTTCTCCAACTGTGGGCCTACTGAATTTGACAGTTTCCTTCTCTCCTGTGCCTTTCGCGCCAGCTCTCGCACTCTACCTTGGGAACGACTAATGAAGTCTGGTCTAGACCTCTGCAACGCGTCCTGCCAAAACCACAAATACATTGTTCTTCTTGAGAAAACATTTAAGCACAACCCTTGTTTCAAACTCCCCGTGCACCTGAGCATACACGGTGAGGCATGTTGTGGAAAAAAAAACCCTAAAGCCAGTATAAATATGTCATTCTTTTTTGTTGATATTGAATTGTATTACAGTGGTTTCTTTATATTGTTTTTGGAACCTTTATAAGAAAACACTGGCTAGTTTTGCCTTGTGAGTTCTGTAAACCTAAAACAAAAACTCTTAGGAGAGGGAAGTTACTCTGGCTGGTTACACTGTGGCTCTGGACTTTTTATTTAGAAAATGAAATCAATTTTTCAAATTTCTTTTATTAGCACAGAAAATAAACTCACCTGAAGAGAAACAGCTTCAGATGACTGTTCAGCATCTAGACTCAGTGGAACAAATTCAGCATGAGGCCGATTGAGGCGTCGGCTGTGATTAGGATGCTGCTTTGCACGTTCTCCCTCATCTGTCACTATCAAGACAGAGGAAATCAACTACTTTGTGTTTTCATGTACACATGGCTTAGCTTCACA